CGGCCATTGTTTCTAGTCGGTCGCCATCCGCTTCCCCTTCCTAGGAACGAAAAAAAAAACGAGCTTCGGCCGTGAACATCTCGAGGGTCCGAAATATTTCACGCGTGATTTAGAGCCCCCCGCCCACCCCCTCACGGAAAAAGCGTAGGGGGCTAAGTGTCCGACCTTACCCTTACAGCGACAATCATGTAAACACGGGCGAGGGGGGCCCGGGCGGCCATAAAACAAAATCCGGAAAAACAGGGACAACCATATAATAATGACGTAAAAAGGGTCCGGCAGGAAGCGGGATCGAGAATAAAAATTCAATGAGCGAAGATGGGGGTGGGCCGCGGACGGGAGCGAAAACCGCGTATCCGAACACGGTATGCCAATGGGAGTTACGCTGTTCTTGCCGAGCGTGGCAGATGTATGGCGGGAATTAAGGATGACATTAAGTATCGCCGAGGACCAGCTCCACGGCGCGGAATGAGGGTAGTTCTGCCTCCCTAAGCCGAAACCACGCAACTGCGTTTAAGATCCCGTGTAGATATGCTGTTCTCGCTAAGCACGGCGGAGTTGACCACCGTCCAAACCGGGGGGAGGGGGGGGGCGACATAAATCCCCGATTGCGTTGTCCGCGGCGACCCGCGCCGTTGGGCGATTTCCCGCGTATTCTCGGGGATTTCGGCTGCGCTAAGAAAGAACGACTTATACGCATCTGAACGTCGCCAAAATTACCCTGGTATTATACCGATTTCTGGAAAAATTTATCAAGTTTTTCCTCTGAAATTTTCAGGTGCCGTAGATGAAAATCCGATCTAAATTTTGCGGATTTCTCAAAGAAAAAAGTTCAGAATTTTCCGGGGAATTTCGGAATTAAAAATGGGAAATTTGGCATCGTTTGATGCGACGCTGGGATCTGGGAAAGCGCAGTCGTGCTACAGGTAAAAAGCGCGTATCCACGCGAGTTTTGCGTTGCAGTTGCGCGGTTTTTGCGCCAGGAGGGCGGAGCGCTCGTTTTCATGGCTATCTGGTGACCCCGAGCGACCTGGCCGGAGAGCCGGTCTTTATGGCTTGACTTTATGGTCGAAACTCGCGCCGACTTTCATACCGCGATCTGTTTTTATCGCCGTCCTCGCGAACACCGTTTCCTGCGCTCTTTTTTCTCCCCCGCCCCCTGTCCACTCACCCCCCGTCGACCCCCTTTTTTTCCGGATCCTTCGGGGTTGCCGGCAGGGGCTCCATCTCGGTGCAAGCTTGGAGGGGTGAAATTTTCTTAGCGATCGGAACGGTGTAAGGAATGACATTTTTCGAAACCAGAACTGAGAAATGAGGAAATTTAAGAATATGGATTTAGGAGACCATCCTAGAGATGAGATATACTAGGAACCCCACACTATAAGCAATTTAATCAGGTGAATCAAAAGTTACGGTTAAGTTCGGAGGTCAACGCTAATTTTCGCCTAAAGATGGTTGATGATCAACTTCATGAGGGAACGGAAAAAAGCCAGTGCGCCTACAATTTTTCGTATATGCAACACAGACATCCCTCGAGCACGAAAAGTTGCATTCAGGCGCCGCCATTGAGAACAATATATTTTAAAGACCTCGTTCTAACAATCCAAGCTATGTGTGATCGGGTCAGGGAAAAGTTAAATTCGGAGATCGATGCTATTTTTCGTAGAATGATGGTTGCGCTGAGCAACTTGTTGAGCAAAAACTTTAAATAAACATCGCCTAATGGTGTCTAATGAATATAATCACTTTGATAGGCGGGTTTTGGCAAACTAGGCTAGGATTTCTAGATCAAGTGCGTAACTCTTTAGTCATCAGTCAGCATCAGTCAAGCGTTGACTTCCGAAAGTAACTTTTACACCATAGAACAGATAGTAGTGCAAGATCCTCGAGAAAAACTGTATTCGGACCTCAATATCCCTGCATAGACGATCAAATTCCGAACCAATTCCAATCAAAGTAGACATGCTGATGACTGGTGGTCGCCATTTACCATCAAATTTTGACGGGCCGCACTTTTTTGTTCAAAGTAAGATCAGACCGGAGTACCACCGTTCATCATTTCCTGCAACAGGATAATTTCTGCCAAGTTTTCATTTACAAATGAAGCAAATTAATGAGTTTCAGACTGATGACTCCCGACACTTTGATGCTACTTTGATCGGAATTGGTTCGGAAATTTGATCGTCTATGCAGGCCTTATGGAAAAGGGACCTCGCAAAAGCTCAAAATTAAGCTTGTTCCTACGTCACAGAAGAGAGTTTCACTAACATCATGGAACATAAAATACCCAAAAATGTGCAGCAGAACCGAAATCATCGTGGTTTCTTTGCAGATCGAAAAACTTAGTTAGATGAGGAACCCATTCAAAATTCTTCTCTGCCATGATCGAGGATTCAAGGTACGAAATGTCCTCCAATGGCACAAGAATGAATAGTTCCGCTCGCAAAGTGTTATTAAGGACACTGAATAGAGATCACAGCCGAAATCTAAAGGTCCGATTTTAAACGTAAACTTGACGAAAATTGCCTCACTGAAACTTTAGCGTCCGTGGAGTGGACTAACATCACTTTTTCACTCTCACATTTATGACCATATTATTAAGGGTTATTTCTATTTAGGTATTCTGTCCCATTACAATCTTTAAACATCTCCTAATTCAGTCCATATCGGTCTAAATTTTAATAGTGTGGTTAAAGTCAAGTTTTTTCTTCCATCATCAAGTAAGCGTCCCAAAAAAAGGCGTAAATTAGGCGTAAATTAAGCGTAATGTAGACGTGCGTGTGTTCGATGGCCAAAATTCGAAACCACGTATCTCCATTGCGGTGTCTAAAACTTTCCGCCTTTGTTTCATTGTTTTAAAGAAGAACAAGCCTAATTTACAGCTTGAAATTAATGCATAATATTCTGCTTTCATAGAAGAAAAATTAAGGAAGTTTTTAAGAAATTGCGTTGACTGGTTTTCCGAAAGAAATAACGAAAAAATTAAAGTGTAATAGGAAGTCTGCAACGTCGCAAACGGAGGTACGTGGCATCGAAATTAGGCCACCGAATTCCATCTGAATTTCCAGGCTGTAATTGAGTAGAAGTATAAAGAAATAGTATTGACAGGTTTCGAGAAATCCTCACCTCTTTATCGCTGACGTATTGAATAATATCATTGAGGGACCTTGTTAATACCCGTTTCTATTCAAATTGCTGCAATTCTCTGACGATGCATTTTATGGATGTGCAAACAAGTATATTAGTATCATCTGTATTTTCCTGACAATTTGATAGAATCGTAAGTGGATGTAATTGTTCCACAAGTCTTCAAATCTAGATCAAGTGTTCAAGTAGAAATTTTCAAAATGTTACTTAATATCAAGTTTCTGGAACGGAAAGCACCTCTCGCAGCAAAACTCACTTCGAATTCAATCTCACGAGATATTTCGTTACGTTTTTTTATTCCATTTCGACGATATCGCCAAATTGAATAATTCTTTTTTTTCCTTCCACGAGATTTCTGGCAAATTAAGATACATGTTTATCAGAGAGATTCTTTTCAAGAATTTAAGATATAGAGATCGGCGCTTACATTATTTGGAAAATAATCGGTTCAATTGGCCCATCGCTCTATTCAGGGGCTTGGAGGACAAGGCGCATAAGTGCAGTTTATGCTATTCCGATAAATACGTGTTTGAAGTTTCAAAATTATATGGATCCTCATGGCGGAAAGAAAGTTCAAACTGACTTTTTGATGCTGAAAAATTGAAATTTGAAGCGAATCCACGGATTATGCATTGAGACTAGTTTCACTTGAAATCATTGATATCGCAATTTTTTCAAAAACTGCACTTATGCGCCTTTTCCTATAATCCCCTCAATTTTAATTTTTCCATCAGAAGGTTTCTGTTGCTGGACAATCCGAGCAGAGTGGCATGAAACTTAAGAAGGAAATGGAAGATTGGAAATTTCAGTGAAATATTTCATGAAATTTCACGAGGCTGTAAAATATTTTATATTTTTTAGGGGCTAAAATATGCATCCCGCACTCAAATCCACAAAAATAGAGGAAAGCCACAATTTTTACACTTGCGAAACATGAAGAGGAACCGGTATTTTTCAATACCTTTCATATATTTCTGAAATTTCATGAAATATCCCACGTAAAATTTCAAGATTTTATTTTCC